AACCGTCTTGTTCCTTCTTCCGTACCAGTTTAGATTAAAAAGAAGAAAGAAAAGAATAAATAAGAAAAATACAACACAATTCTTCTGCTTTTAGACATTCATTAAAATACACTGAAGAAGAAAGCTGACGCTTTCGAAACGTATATATATACGAATAATAATAATAATAATCAACTAATAATATTTATATTGTAAATAATTATTTTAATAATAAATAAAGAAAGAAAGAAAAAGCAAAAATACTCAAACAATCTGGTGGAAGAGTAATAAATATAAAAATAAAACGAATCTTGTGAATAAATAAAGCAAATATTTTTGAAAATAACTGAAAAATATAGTTTAATGTCATTGACAGACGAATCTATTCTCTTCATTGTGAAGAAGAAATGGCATACTAGTGTGGCTTAATGTTAAATTTATTGCACGTGTGACAGATCCTTTCCATCTGGTGAAGAAAAAGTCAACTAATTAGTTCTTTTTTGCTTTGCATATATATATATTATATTAGAAACGTAATGTTTTTTCTCTTTCTTCTGCACTTTGCTTTTTCATTTTGTTAGATTTTTCATGTGACAAAAGAATATGATGAGCAAGGCAACACATGGTAATAATAAGAGTTTCCAACGTTCTTTTTCTTCTTTTACTGAAAGTATTATAAAGCGGAAGGACAATGTTATGTTCGCTTTTAGCATATAGTAACCAATGGAAACTTGATTTGATATTAATTTCAATAAGTATTTCTTTATATATTATTGTCATTATCAATTGATAATCTATATATTTAGTTAAATCTACATTAAAGATAGTCAAAGGTCTTATATCTTGAAAAGACAAACTACGAAATATATCTTGGTAAAATAGAAATATTTCAATGTTTATTAGTCGATTATATTTTTTATATATGCGTCAATATTGTCGATTATTATCACCAATAAAAATAACTTTATTAATATTGATTTTGTTTATTATTATTGTTCATAGTCTAGTTTTTATTAAAAATTATCGATGGTGTGATCCTGAAAAACCATTATGGTGGTTTTGTCCATGGCCAGATGCTGAAACAATTTGTAGTTGGGATGATCATTTTCCAATAATAGATAAAAAAATTCGGTAATGTTCTTCTTGTCTTTTATTTAAAGAATTTATTTTCCGTCAAACAAAATAAATATTCATAATAATAATAATAATAATAATAAAATATGAGCGACTTTTGAAATTGTAGAATTTCATATTTTATAATAAAGAAAATATTCACTTTCACTAATGAAATAGTATGTTCATTTATCACAGAATATTTTCTTATTATTTTTTTTATAGTAACTAAAAATTAAATAAAAATTTGTTTCTGTAACTAATAAGATAGTTCGTTCAATTTGCTCGAGTCATATATAGTATATTAATACTTGATCATTCTTCATTAGTCAGATTTGTGTAATTATCAAATATAAATAATTGAAATTTAGAGTTCTACATAATCAAACATCATAATTCTAAAATTCGTCTCCAACAATTTTCTCACGTGCATATCATCAAAGATTTTTGAGTTATAGTGTAATGATATCTAAACTATTTTATTTACTTTTCTTTTGCTATATATGTTATTTTTTCTTGCATAAAATCTATAAAACTAACAAACAAAATATTTTCCGCATGTTTTGTTCGTTACTTAATATACGAAGAAGGAAGTTGTGTTACTGTGTACGCCTAAAAGCTTGATTGTTTTATATTGGTGTCACTCTAAAATTGACTCAGAAAAGAAAAGTTTTTCAATCACTCCAACTCTGATACTCATGAAGTCGGAATCTGAGTCCAATACAAGACTCTATTCAATTATCTCGATTACAACACATGGAAATGATGATAATTCAAAAAAAAATGAACTAAATACTAAATGTCACTGATGTTAGAATGTTGAAACTCGTCTAAAAATTGAAAAAAGAAATCTCACTTAATGTTGTTTTAAATTATTCTTTTCTTTTTTTTTTTTTTAGTTCTCCGGAGTATTATGAAAAATTGTTTTCGTCTCTTCCTAAAATTCAATCTTCATTCGAATTTAATAACTTAACATTTGTAAAATGTACTGAAACATCAATTGATCTTTTAATATTTGTAATATCAAAATGTTCTCATGCATCAATTCGTCAATCAATTCGTCGAACATGGGGAAATACAAAATTATTAAAAAAAAAATATTTTCCAAAAATTGAATTAAAATTATTATTTTTAGTTGATATTGATTCAAAATCTGAAAAAAAAATTGAACTTGAATATAAATATCATAAAGATATTGTACAAGTAAATAATTTACCTGAACAATATGAATATGTAACAGAACGTGAAGCAGCATTATATCAATTTATTAAAGAACAATGTAAACAAACTAAATTTCTATTTAAAACCGATGATGATATATTTATAAATACATTTTTATTATTATCATTAATTAATAACTTTGAATATTTAAATAATAAAACAGTTTATTCATTATTTGGTTTTCCCATTGAATATGGTTTAGTTGTTCGTCGTGGAATTGATCAAATTGGTCAAAGATATGTTATTACACAAGATGAATATTCATGTCCAAGATATCCAACTTTTTTATCTGGTTTTGGTTATTTAATGTCATTTAAAACTTGTTCTTTATTAATTAATGCATATCAAACAGATTCAAAACCATTTCCATTATCAGATGTTTATTTTACTGGTTTATTACCTCAAATGATTCAAATTGAAAGACAAACTATTTTTCAAAATGTTGATTATCGTTATGAAACAAAATGTAATCAAGAATTTTTTATTTCGAAAAAAAATCCATTTGCTTGTGCTGCTTCAAATAATCATTTTAATCAACAAGAATCAGGTAGAGTTAAGAGTTTAATGAATGATTATAATTTGTATTGGACAAAATTAATAGAAAAATACAATGCTTTTTAAATCTATACAAAATAGGTCAAGTTTTACAGTTTTTGGTTGTATTTTTTTAGTATGTACACATAGAATATGTTTAGCAAATGAATATTAAATAGGGTTTTTGTAATACTTATACTTTTTAAACAATGAATTATTTATTGAAATAAAAACAAGTATTTTTATTGTTTTGGTAAAATATTACAACTATGAAAAAGCATTGTCAAAAAACCTCCAGAAAATCTCTTGTTGTCTATTGATTAGAAACTCGAAGTATTGTGAATTATTTTTCCTTATACAATAATTTTATAGCAGAGAAGAGTAAATACCAGCATAAAAGATGAATTAGTTGAGAATAATATAGAACGTATATTCTTTACTATTAAAAACATTATTCTCTCAAATGAATAATATTTATTATAATTATTGAATTGAATTATTGGGTTTTTAATGTTGCACATAGAATATAACTTAATCGTATACAAATTATAAATTTCTATATCTGTTAAAACAAAGAAGGTATGGACACTATTTACAACAGTAAATAAGTTGCATACAGTGAAAATATAGGTTTCTTACAATGTCGCTTGACGCCAAAATAACACAAACAATAATAAAACAGAATATGTCTGAAACGTACACGGTAAGAAAAATATTCGTTAACAATATTTATGATAGTCAATATACCATTTTCTTGTAGTTTAAGATCGCAACCCTATCGTTAATCGATAATCATGATAAATTAATTCTTCGTCAGAAAAAGCCACATATTTCAGAAATAAACTGTATAACAACATTTTAATAGACAGACAAAAATCGATTGTTTTTTTTTCTTCTGTTCACATGTTTAGTTATGTACAATGAATGGAAAAGAAGAGAAGCAAACTAGAAAAGCCTTATTAAGGCGATCGAACTAAACAAAACACTTTCAAATGTGTGTCAAAAAAAATAAAAAAATATTTCATCGTTAAAGAGAGAGGCTATCCATGTAAATACCACATGCAAAATTGACTCATTAATGACACAGTTTTTTTTTAAATACGCATCTATATATATTTCTTCTTGGAATCATATTTACATACGGTTGGTAAAAAAAAGCTGAACACAACTAGACTCGATTAAAAAACTATTTGAAATGCACTTGACCATGTTCCTTGTTCAAACCACATCTGCAAGTAGTTGATGAAATTATTTGAACGTCTCTTATCCATACAGACGAGTAAACGCTTTATAGTTGGTTCAAAGAAGGCAATAAATCTATTGAAATAAAAGAATGCGCTATATGTTTCATTTTGGTATCATAAATCGAATAGTATATAAACAAATAAAAACACATTTCAATTGCTTCGATTGTCAATAACGAGCTTTGTCTTTATGACTGAAATGTGATTTAATGTTTCATTTGATGAATGTGATGAATTCATTTTTATATAATATTCAAGTCGTTTTTCATGTTTCCAATGAATAATCATTTCGGATCAGATAGAATAGTTCGTAACAACTAGTAAACGACTTGACAACGACGATAAAACAATTTCCATTGCGATAATCGTTTACGATGCAACTTAGAACAAAGAAACATGAAGTTAAACAACATCCGTTACGCTCCTCATTTGTGGGTGTGGATGTAGTTATTCTCCCTCCCCACACTCACAGTCTATTTTGAAGAATAACTCGAACTGAACACTGTATCAGTTTATTGCAACTATAGATTTATTCAAACAAATCAAGAGCGAAAAGTCAGCTAGGTACGTGATTCTATCATTGATCAACAAATATACGATTCTGATGCATATAATTGAGTTTTTAAAAAGATTGATGACAGATCCTATGTGATATTTCAATTTAAGCATCAATAACGATTCCTTATGCAATTAATGTCGAAAAGATAACCACCAGATATTCGAAACTCAGACTACGTTTCCTATTTTATTGAATGCTATGAAAAAAAACAAATCACCTAGATATTCATAGAAAATTTAAATTATTTGTTATTCAATCAAAAGTAATTCTCATACTTATAAACGAAACAAAATTGAATCAAACGAAATCCGAGCCTGAAAAAAGTCGGTTCTTTTCGGGTTCTGATTCACAACAAGAACGAAAAAAAAGAACTGCTTGATCATTTTCTTGCTAGATATAGTATTTCAACAACAATTATTTTTTCGCAACAGCGCTCGATGAACAAATAACTTGTTCTTTTTAGTTTAGATAGAGTTCAAACTTGTGATTCATTTGAATAATTTTGGAATGTATACCAGTATGATCTTCCTCTTATGTTGGTTCTTGTACATTCATACAATAATGATCGATTCGATTAAGGTAAAAATATCAAATTATCGAACAAGTTCGCTTTTAATACGATTGATGCTTATTCAATTACAAGTAAAATAACGATACAACAATGAAGAATAAATCAATGAGAATCGTTGTGTTTTTCTAAATTATTTATCGGATGATATTCGAGTGCCAATAAACCTTACATAAACATAATATGTTTATTTTTTTATTCATTCATCAATCTTATCTTAATCAATCGATTATCATCATATTCAAATAGAAATTCTTCAAAAGTATTAATTGTTATTCGAAATATAACAAAATAAGAAAATTTCTCTTCTTGAATATATAATCGTTCTATTTAGAAATAATTCTTATCATTTGAGAGTATAGGATATTATCATGACGAATAAATTGTTATTCAATTGTAAGAACATTTTTGCTAAAGTATTCAATGATAACTTGAAATAAAATGTTTTAAGTGTTCAATCAATGTACTATAATCGATTTAGAATCAATATTAACAATCACCGATAGTGTTGTGTAAGATGTTTTATCATGAATTTTCTTACGATTTTGAGCATTCGAAAAATAAATGCATTTACATTGTATAATTGAACCAGTAACTACTAGTTTAATTGTCAAGTTTTGAGATTTTTAATTATCATACGTGCTTCTGCTATATCAGCACTAGTTGAACGTGTGTTTTCTCAAAGCGGTCTTTTAATGAGATCACAGCGTTCAAGTTTTTTATCAAGTAGT